CTAGGATAATATTCACGCAGATCTATGCCGATTTCGACTTTGTTATCTTTGTCGTTCCTTTGATTGATGTGCTTTAAATCAATCTGTGATAAAATGTACGAAAAAAGACGAAATATACAAGAAGAGAATGATAATTGTATATAGTGGAAATCGCAATGGTAAAGGTAATGCTTATTGTAATGGTAATCGTAAGTGTCATTGTAATGGCAGTCGTATTTTTCCTGTTTTCCTTCGTATTCAACTTCGTATTCGCCTTCGTGTCGGTATTCGTTTTCTCATGCGTCTTCTTCGTCTAATGTTTGTCTTCGTTCGTGATCATAGAGATATATCTCCGTCTTCAGCTTCTGAATGGTCCTCAGTTTCGTAATCGCTTCCGTCTATGCATTCGTCTCGGTATTTCTTTTGGTCTTAGTCTTCTTATTCCTCTGCGTAATCCTTTTCGTATCATACGCCTCACCACTTCGTCGCCATATTCGTAGACAGTCTTCGCGTTCATATTCGTTTGCGTCTCACCTTCGTCTCCGTGTTCGCCTTCGTATGTGTTTTCACGTTCCTCTTCGTATGCATGTTTGTTCTCGTGTTCGTCTTTGTAGCCGAAGCTACTTTTGCTTTCTAAGCAAAGAATATGACTTAAAAAAAATAATACTATTATTTACTTAGCACAGAACAAAACTCGAAAAAAATAACGATTATTTTCCAGGGAAAACAAAAAAGTTAGAAAAAAATTTCCGAAAAAAATAACGATTAAAATTTTCAAGCAAAAAATAAAAAATTAAGGTTATTTTCCAAACAAAAAAAAAGGTGTAAAAATAACCATGTTTTTTGATCAATAAATAAAACTGACTAAAATGCTCAGCTTAACTTGAAGAGTTACTGATGCATATGTATCTGTTTTTTACTTAATCTCGTTTGGGTAATACAAGTATGTACCTGATCACCATCGTAAGTCCACGAACCGAATTTCATGAAACATGTCTGCTGATCGAACGGAAAATAGCGCACATCAATTTCACAGGATGATTTGAAAATGGCCGGCGGAGTCCAAACCACCTTGCCCGTGTAATGAAGGATGGCTTTTGTCATGGTGGTGACAACGTATTCACCATCGGCGCTGAAAAAAAAAAAAAAAGTTACATATATTTTTGAAGTGTGGTTAGGCTTTGTTGGCTCAATATAGGCAAATGCAACTTAAACTTAGCTTCCTTAAATAACAAAAAAAGTATTTTGTAAGAGGATTTAAAAATTTCTGCCGCAAAGTATGCAACATAAAATCGTATACTCGTAGAAATATTTTCCAAATTTTTTTTCAGTGTACGGTTGTGTTCAAAACGCCCGAGCTGGCTAGTTTAAACTGAGATTATTTAGCCAATCAAATGACAGCCAGATGTTAAATATAAAGGCAGTTTAGGTAATCTAAGTTTAAACTGGCACTGACCCTAAGGGTACAAACACACAGAAAGCGGGGCCGATCCGAGCGAAGCTGTTCCGAGCGGAGAGAACCTTTCAAATTCTTGTAACAATATACCAGTTTTCATAAAGCAGCTTTTCAAAAGCGTTTTAGACCTCATGCAAAGATTTTTTTTTTAATTTTCGCTTCGCTGTATCAAATTTCTGCGTGTTACATGAAGTGTAATTTATTTCAATAAAACTCAACATTCTTTAATTCAGCTAAAGACATAGGAATTCTTCTAATTTTTTAGCGCTCCTCAAAATATTTCAAAAACCTGTTTCTTACGATACATTTTCAAATACCTTATTCCCTTAATTCAAGCCAAATTTGATTTTTAAAATAGCCGGCAACCCTTCTACATGCAGTTTTGAAATAAAGCCTTTACCTGTAGATACCCATATTGTAATAATGCCTGAAATTATTAAATACATAATTTGAAGTCAATTTTCTAAACAGGTGGCAACCTTATTAAACCTCTTTGATACATAATTATTATTATTATTTTAATAAATAATTTAAATTACTAAATATTTAAAATTGAATTTAATTATAAAACAGGTGGCAACTTTTTTCAACCACCTCAATAATACTCTAAATGTTCAAGCTAAAGGTTCTTAACAATATATTCTTAACAATAAATAATAAAATTCGACTAGACTTTTCAAACATGTGGCAACCCTTTTGAAAATATTTTCAAACTGCAAGCATTTTAAGCGTTGTAATTCAAACACTGAGTTCCAGTGCTCTAACACAAAATTCCCAGAGATATGCTGTAAGAAAAATTTCGTTTGTATGGGTGGTACCACGCCCCCCCCTTTTAGTCCAATCGAGAGAAAGACATCTTAAGTTGGAGTAAATGACGTCAGTGTGCTAAATTTCATTATGATCGGTTGTGTAGTTAAAGCGTGAAAGCATAACAAACAAACAAACTCTCCAGCAAAGTCAAATAAGTAGCTCAGCCGCTTTTCGTTGAAGGTAAGATTTGTGGCATCATTTCAGCTGATTCCATGCGATAAGCTTCGCTCCTCATTGTTCAGTGTGAACACATATAGCTTTCGTGGGCATTTCGTTATCTTAAAAGCGCCTATTTTAATATTACAACGCTTTTCCAGACACCTTTGCTATAAACAAGTTGGGGTGCGGATTAATATACCTACGGTGTGCATTCTGGAAAGGACATATCGGACGAACCATTCCTTGTCAATTCCTCACTTTTGCACTTTCTCTTGATTCCCAGATGTCCAGGCGCCTACACGCATATATGAGATAAATTTTGTAATGCTGGGTTATCTCTTTCAGAGATATACGCCATTCAGTAAGGGACCTTGCATTGTATCTGTGAAGTGTAAAGGTTTGAAAGCTGTTTGACTAGCATAGAAGATAATAAAGACTCGTTTTTCTCATTAGATCTCTCGCTTACATAATTCTTCTTTATATTTCAGTTCCTGTACTTTAGAGCATACTTAACCAAATTTGATGCTTGATGCTTTAAATTTACGTTTACGTTTACGTTTTTTTACTTTAATACTAAAACAAAAAAATATTATAAAAATATCTATTCAATGTATTTTTAATTTTCTGAGTCTTCATAGGGTAATTTGAACTTTTCCCCTGTACGACACGTCTTAATTGACTCCAATCGGAACCAAAATTTATATGTCAAACCTTTGACCGTGGTATTACCGATTGAGGGGGTGAGACTGAAAAGAGCGTTAATTTGATTTTTTAAGGACCACCCTAATGTATATACATACGTGTCTAAAAAATTCTAAAAAATACTCACTTATTATAGAGCACTATGTCCGGCAGCCAGATATGCTCCGATGGCACATACAATTCCGTTACACCGCCATACTCCGAAGGATCCCACTTAAATTTGTGATCCTGCCATTCGTGTTCGAGCCAAACGTTAGTTGTTAAAATTTGATCTTTTAAATTCTGTAAGAAATGTGGAAGAAAAAAAGCAATTAACGCGCGCCCAAAATTTGACATTGCAAGTCAAATATCGCCATTAGGATCGCACTAAATTACTCAACGCCTCAGCAATAAAAAGATGCACAAGAAATGGAATAATGAAAGAATTTAGTTGATTGAAAAAAAAAAACAAAACACTTGAGAAACTGCGAAAATTGAAAGAAATTCGCCGGCAATGCTATCGTCTCGCCTGCTGAACTCCACACTGCCTGCAAGCGCCTGATTGTATGCTTCGATTTGCTCGCTCTGCTCATTTAAATTCACTATTTATTTCATTTGCCACGTTTTCGTTTTTCGTTTTTCATTTCGTATTTTTTATTTGATTTTCTTTTTCCTATAATTGCTGACCTTTTGTTTCAAAGTGGAAATGCTCTTAATTTCGCCGTCATGTCCTTTTCCATTCATTGCTGTGCAAATGAAAAGTCTAATTTCTTGACTATTAAATAATGTATTTGTATGTATGTATGTACTATGCATCTGCGCAAGTGAGAAGAAGTGTGGTTGTATGTATGTGTGTATGTTTTTTTTCGCACTATTTTTCATTCACTTTTGCATAGTAATTGCTTTTATGCATTGCCAATATATATACATAGATTTGCTTGTTAGCTAGTTAGTTCTTTTATATGCTTGTATGTTTGTATGTATGCATGTAAATACGTGAGTTTGCGTCTATTTGATGCCTTCAAATTGCTGTTGAATTGCCACTTTTGTGTCCTTTGTTGCCAATAAAAGGGTCAGACGGTGAAATTATTTTTGCTGATAGTGGCGTTAAAATGATTGACTTGAAGGCTCAAAACAGTTTTCATCGCACCTTTGTGTCTGTGTGATAGCTATTGTGTGCGCACATACACGTGTGCAAATGCTAAAAGTGCCGTCAAACGGAAGCATAAAAAACGGATTCAATTTAATTTTGGAATCACTGATAAACACGCAATCGGACAGGCAAGCAGTTACTTAGTCGGAAATACCCTGAAAATTTCAGATTTTAAGGTAGGTGTGTTTTGCAGAGCGAAAGATAAAATTTCAGCAGAGTAAAAATGTTAAAATTGATATCGTGTTTGGAACGGTTTAAGTATTTACATGTATTTTATGGTAATAATATGACTTATTGTGGCTTATACACATATGTACATACATAAATACACAGGCATCGCTTACGTTTTTAAAAGTGAATTAACTCAAGATATCTTATTTTTCATATTATACCGACAGCATTTCGAGGGCTCAGAAAATCTGTCTCAGAATTTGGCGGAAGAACGCCTTATCTCAACATATTTTCAATATAAAATAGGGTGTTCTTGAACAAAAATCTGAGATAGGTAATTCGCCAACCAAATTCTGAAGTAACGCGCTCTTGAAAAATTTTTTGAGATTCGTTTTCCGGTCGAATCTCGAGATAGGTCGAAATATTTTTTTTTTAAATTTTTAAAGTAAAGTCTCTTAAAAAGAAGATAATGCAGAAACTGTTTAATGCAGGGACGGATTTAGGGGGGAAAGGGGGTTTGTGGGCATTGCGCTATTTCCTCACTTTCACGAGTCGCGCATTGTCACCAGTCGAACCTCTGGCTTCACTCTTCATTTCTTCGGGCTAGAGGAAAAGGACGAGTTGAAGAGTAAATCTGATGGCAGAAACTATAGGTACGGAGCAGGACGTAAAAAAATCAGGACAATTACATTGAAAATGCTGAATGATATTATCGGCGGTCAATTTTCGTCCCATTTTTGGATCAGCATTTAGAAGAGCTTAATTTAAAATTTATGGAACACAGAGAACTACTGACAAAGATACAAAACGTAATTCCAACAAAATGAGCAGAGCATAATGAAGAAGCGTCGGACAAAACCGGTAATGTCTTTAGGGAAGTATGGCCGAACGACGCATTATGGCGCCTCTGCCGCAAAAACGTTGCAAGACTCAAAATTTTGATGAAATCGCTCGTTAAAGAGAATACACGTATCTAATAGAAAATTTTCCAGGGATTACGAAAATATAATCTTCATTAGTCAAGTCCCCATATGGAGAAAAATGTGTATTTATTGTTCTAATTCGTCATATTTTAGATTGTGTCGTAATTGTGTGTAAAGTGACCGGTTGCTATTTTTTTTTGTACTTTAGCGAAAGGTACTTCTATTTTTGATATCAGTAAAAAGAAAAGTTAATTTTTTTCTAAAAGCTGTTAGATCTACCTGTTTTCCGTCAAGTTTATTTTTCGACCCTTTTTCAACTTTGGTAGAAGATAAAAAATGTCCTCTTTGAAATTGAGGGTGGTTATTTGCTAAGTATTAACTTACCCGATTCAAATTTTCCTTCTGCGCCTTGCTACGCCTTTACTTTCTACATCAATTTAGGTGAAACACCCTTGGCTGAAAAACGCGCCTAAGCAGGTTTAAGGCGGGGGAGGTTGTTTGTAACAGCCAAAATGAATCAAGATAAATATGGACAAATGTTCAGAATGAAAAAAATAAATCGATTAAGCGGTGACCGACCGTCTGTGCGCACGATAACTTCTTAACATCTTTTGAGCGTAGGATGGACGGTATTGAAAATGGAAAAAATCAACCAATAATCCCATATAACGGTAGTTTTCAGACATATGGAAACTGCGATATTTAAGTAACTACTGAAGGTTATTCACTCAAAATGACATTTGCAATGATTTTTAGACGAAAAATGCGAATATTATAAATTTTTGGGAAATGGGCGTGTTTACATGTGTATATCTCGGTAACTGCTCCACCAATTTCTTCCCAACTTGACACAGTTGTTGGTCTCGTTAAAGCATACCAAACAGCTGAAAATTTTTAAAACGGACAATAACCCGATCCTTAAAAGTATCGATACCAGAGAACTTGATCCTCAAAAGTACTCGATACTTCCCAACACTAAGCTTTAATACTTATGACAATACACATTTCATTTTATTTATTTAGTCGCGGCTAGAACATCGTCGCGTACACATGTGTCGCTACTCACTTGAGTGCTGACCCCATGCGACCACTACGTAACATTTTTTGACGGAGGTAAGTTTTTAATTTATTTTTTAAGCTTGAAGTCGAAATTATGTTTTTTTTTACGTTAATGACAATACCATACTTTAATATATTTGCGACTAATTGTGTGATTTTCTTTATGCGCCTAATTAAGGGTTAAGAAAATTTAACATTCACGTGCTCGGTAGCATACATTTGTAGCATATTCGCCGAAAATTTATAATAAATAAAAGAATTGCACTACAACTGTGTCCGAGTAGCTTCCTAAAAATCCATTCTAAGCAGTTTTGGCTATTAAGCCTACAAAAAACTTTATTTCCGAGACCTTCGAAACCGTTATTTTTAAAATGACTCTCTCCTGGCCAGTACTAGGTACCATATAACAGCGTGCGACACTAAATTTTACCTACACAAAAATTAAACTACGTTTTTATTTTTTCACTCTGACATCAGGACTTTGAAATTTCAAGGATATGGTAAATTCAAAAATTATTAAAAAAATCAGTGCAAAGTAGAATAACAATATCAGTGTCAAACAAAATACAAATCTCTGTAAAATTTAAAGAAAATTAAATGTGCTGGTACACAAGGACGAGAGGGTATTGAAATTGTTCTGTTAAGTTAATTAGATAAAAAATGATTTAAAGGAACATTTTCAATACATTGAAATTGAATTCTAAAAATTTGTCTCTTTATTGAATGCGTATACTGCTATTTCACATCGCTCTAAATTTTTTAAATAATGTTTTCAATTTTTCGTATCTTTTAATATTCAAAGTCCTTTAAAAAAAAGATACTTCAGAGAGAAAACAAGAAACTCAGTTTTGCTATATTTGGCACCTAGTTTCGCGAGTATGTAGATATGTATCTATATTGTTAGGTAGGTATTTCGAATCTTGTGTTTGGAAAACAAGATGCGAGTTTGCGACGCACATACTATTACTCACCGTAAGCGTGTTCATATGTTAGAATGATTCTCCCTACAAATTAACGCTGGCTACCAATGTAGACTTCCGACCGTTTACGCGAGTTTTCACTCCCGAGAGCATGTAGGTTAATGAAGGATATTTTTGCACATACAGCAGTATGCATTTAGGCGCCTGGCTTTAGTAGTCGCACCTACACATATATGTTATGTAATGAAATAAAGTAAATAAATAAAAAAAGTAAAAAAAAAATTATTTTTCTTATTGATTTTTTAGGTCCAAAAGTAGTTAGTTACAAGTTAGTTGACATCTAGTACAGAGATACCCACCCTTGACTACATCTACTGCAGACTTTTTCGCGGGCATCCCCATAGAAATATTGTTAGCTTTCCTCAAAGCAAATAAGTTCCTTCCTAATCAACTTCAAGTGAACTTATAGTTAGGTTCATTTCCCGCAGGGTAGTTCTAACTCAGCTGTGAATACTGCTTGTGATATACATATGCAGCTGGCCTCAATAATGTGTTAAGGGCTATTGCAGCGTTACAAGATTTTTTCAAGACATACTCAATGTCACGAAGCGGTATAAACGTTAACTGAATTTCAGCCAGAAATTTTCGAAGCTTTTGAAGAGATTGCGGTACGGAAAAACGAAAAGTCAGCCACATAAACTTCCCAGTTCCTGGCTCCCATTTCTACGTTGGATGCAACGTCGATACTGGGAGCATTTAAGTTTACTATGGAATTGCATTCTATATTCCACTCATCGATACGAACATAATTCATCTTCAGAACCGTTTTATCAAAAACAAATCTGGTTTTGAAAATTTCGATGTTTTGTTCCTCAAAAAGTTGTTAATGCAAGAAACTTTATGAATTTTACGAAAGTGTTCAGTGGTCAAAATATGGAGCCAAATTTCGACATTCGACTACGGTATATTTGTGCGATATTTGTTATTTATTTCGAATCCCTGAGCACAATATTGAGTATTTTTGTTCGATGGGGGGTTTCGCCCGAAAATCACCACCGTGAATCCGCCACTGACAAAGAGGGAGGATGCTAATGGTATCTTCGATAAAGCGGTACGATAATTTTTTTTCATTATGTCATTTCAGTTTCAAAATCCAAACTAAGTAACTTATTCTTATAGACGTTAGATCTATAATACACAGAATAATACAAATTGATGAAATGAAGCCAAAATCAGAGGTCTCAAGACAGACGCTCCAATCGCTACTAGCAACCAACAATCATGTCGGTAAATACTCAAGGTTAAAGTGCCCCCCTTCATAACTTAAATAAATTCACAACAATAAAATGCAAATTCAAGACCATTTCCACAATATTCTGAAGGGCCCTATTGATTTATTACTATTACAAAGAGTATAGTTTTCCCCTCGTCCCACCTACACACTTACCAAATCGATCAGCTGTGACAGTCGCAATCCGAGCTTTACCAAAACAGTATCCGTATTATTGCTGACAGGTCGTATGAGGCGATTGTAATTGCTGAGCAAGTCATCGTAGAGTCGTTTGGCATCCGGATTCGCGTGCACCTGAACGACACTCTCGCACAGCAACAAAAACACAATCAAAAGGCAAACAAATTTGCAATTTAGCCAAAAAGTGGCTAAATTGCGTAGTGACGACATTCTCTACACTGTGCGTATTTTATGGGCGATCAAATGCATTGAATAGCGTTTAAAAGAATTAAATAGTTCAAATACGCTCACACACACGCACACACTCATAAACAAATGATTGTCCTTCCGCTGAATTTCAATGCATAACTACAGGCGTGTGAAAGATTTTTACGAGGAGCGCATATATGTATCTGGTATGTTGTGTTGTATTTGCCCTAGAGCCGGTTGCAGCAGCGGTTACCGCCTATTTTCGCTGCACTTGCTTTCTGCACGCTTCGTGAATTTCGCTTTTTTTATGTTCTATTGTTTATTTTGTTTAGTTGTTGTTGGTAACTTTGTGTTGCGCTCCTTCGCGTTTCGTTTCTGTTGTTGCCTTTTATTAGTGCCTTTGCTGTGACGTCTACGCCAGTTGTGTACTAAACCGATGTACTAAAAGTCTGTTACAAGTGGCGAGTAAACGTCAGCAATAAGTGACAGCTGGCAGCGTAGCATGAAGGCTCTTGGCCCTTAATTGACAGCGGCGCGCCGCAACTGAGAGTTTGTCGCGCGCCAGCTGAGCGCGCGCTTGAGAGCGCAAATGTTGTGCAGCGCTGACGTTCGCCTTGCGCACGTTTTACCGTTGAGTGTGTGTGTGTTTTTGTTGTTGTTATGCTTGCTGGATGCTTGTAGTTGTACGTGTGCCACTATTTTTTGCGTTGTTGACTTGTGTCATTGACTTGGTAGTTGGTTGTGGCGGCAAAGCGCCTAAATGTATGCAAAGAGTTTTTGAGTATTTATTTTGTTTTATTGCAGTCTCCCATTCCTTTTCGAAAAATTTAAAAGAATTCAACTCAAAAGTTCGTTTTCATTTTCCAACTGCTTTAAACCAGTTTTCGTCACTCGCTAATGCATTTCACATTTCACTTTTGCAATCGAATTATATTTTGCTTTTTTAATTTGCTTGCTTGAAACACATTTTTTCAGCGTTGTCTTTCCATTGTCATCTGAGCTACTTTCGTGCGCTCGAGACGCAGCGCATCAGCACCGTTGCTTGCGCAAAAATATCAAAAACCGTACTGAAGCGCTGAGTATTGTTTTTGTAGCGTCGCTGCCATAGCCGCCAGGACATAGCAAGCGCCACAGTGCCGCATCGGTTTTGTCGCTTTGGAAACAAAAAGTCTTTGCTGCTTATTCTCCTCGAACTGATGGATGCTGCGAGAGCGGCGTGCCATTTTAAAGGTACTCACAGCTCAACGCTCAAACGAGAGTGTACTACTGAGTGTATAGCAATGATGGTGGAGTGGAAGGGCGTGCTCATAGAGAGCGCGAGGAGCAATATGCTTGGAGTTTTTTAAGTTTGTTTGTAGCTAATTTATTACATTTTATGGGCGTGCTGCGCTAAGCATTGTGCCCGGTATCTAATGGCTGCTTGCGGCTGATTTTGGTACTCGGCAGTTATTGGTATATGCGATTTGAATAACATATTAGGCAGCATGTTTTGCGGATATGCCGAAAGTTGATTCTGTGCGAATTAGTCAGATTTTAGTTTATAGAGTTTATTAAAAAAAATATATATATATTTCTAATTTTTTAATAATCCTCAACTATTAATTTCTATAATCAATCACTAACTTTTTACAAAGAACTTTTGTAACTTTTTTTAATTGCACTTCTTAATTATCTCATTTACTTTATATTATTTAATATTTTTTTACTTAACTCACGAAAAAAGCTCTCTTTGATACTCTTACATTTCTGTGTTCGCATGGAAAAGTAGCTTATGTCGAAAGGCTGGCTTTAGTATAAATCGGCATTCGCAGCATACGATTGCGAATAACTTACGGGCGCTAAGCCGTTAAACAACTTTTAGCAAATAAACGTGCAAGAAATAGTTCCGATACTACCAAGTCAATATTCTTTTTAAGTCTCATCAAAAAATTCCTTGTCGTTTAAAAAATAAAGGGAATGCCGCATTATACTAAAGCCGGCCTTTCGACATAAGCTACTTTTCCATACGAACACAGATTTATCCCTCTCGGTTTATGCCTGTTAACATGTACAGGAGTTTCTCTTAACGTTATCGTTTACCAGTTTTTAAACTCTTCGCGTGAGCATCCAAAAAGTCTCCAAAAATGCTACATATTTCTTAACATTCTAGCCACAGCCCACTGCAAAACTAATTCCTTTGTACTGACATCAAAAAAAGTTTCAGAGGTTTTAGCCTGCTTTTCTATATATGTATGTATGTAAGAAGGTGTGTCAAGCCTTTTTAAAATGTTGTTACTCAGGTCAGCCATATGTGTGTATCCTCATTTTTGCTAAAAAATTTACTGAAAAATTAAAACAAAATTATGCGTGGATCCCACGCTTGACCGAAGTGATTTTTTTTACCTTTACCTTTATAGTTCACCATAATATATGATTACTTTACTTCATAATATTGAAAAATTATCTCAGCCCTAATCGCAATCGTAAACTTACTCCTATTCCTAACCCCAATCTTTTCTTAAAATAAATCTAAATTATAAACTTAAATGTGATGATTTTGTTGGTAGATTTTTCCGACAGTGTAGAAACATTATTTGTTTTGTAACGAATTTCCGTCGTAACTTGGCAAGTTTGGTTTGGCGAAAATTCGGTATCGACATTGCGCCCTGATCAGTGTTCTTGTGCCTTCTTAATTTAATTATCATTATTAGTGTTATTCTTAATCTTATCCTTACAGCCAGTTTCACCAAACTATTTAAGTGGAAATTAACTTTAATTTAATTTTTTATTTAAATCTCATTTTAATTATTTTCAGTTTCAATAAACTATTTATTTAAGTGAGTAAAAAGTGGTTGTAAAACAGACTAGGACTAGCTTTCGCTTTCATTTGTACTGAGAGCTTTTGAAAGCTTTGGCACGCTGTGTTGTAAAAGCAGGGCTGGTATACAAGTAAGCAGCAGATGCACAATGATCAGGTGATTAAACGTGTAACACCTCTGAGTGTGGTTATTCTGATTTAACTTTTATTTAAGTGCAGAGCATAGGTCACTTAAATCAAAATTAAAATTGATTGGTGAAACCGAAATTAAAGTAATTTTCACTTAAATAATTTGGTGAAACTGGCTGTTAATCTTAATCTTAATCTTTTTCTACTTTTTAAATCCTAATATATTTGAATCGCTATCATATTCAAATGATAACCCTGATCTTATTCTTAATCTTAACCCTAATCTTATTCTTAATCCTAATCTTGATTTCAATATCAATCTTAATCTTAGTCTTATTCTTAATCCTAACCTTAATTTTCTTAATTCTTATCTTAAACTTAATCTAAATCAGAAACTATCAATAGTCGGCACTAACGATAGTGTGCGATAGTTCTTTAGAAGCAATCGTTAACTATCGATAGTTTTCGATATTCTTCTAAACTTACAATTTGGCTTTGTATTGCTCTGGGCCAATTTATAAAAAAAATTTTTTACAAAATCAGTAAATAGCTATCTTAGAGTGAATAGTTGCTAGGTCCATGTTTTTTAATTTTACACGAGAGGAAAAAAACACTTGCTTCAAGAATTTTACAAAACTTTTAATCAAATATTTTCCGCGTTTAAAGCAAAGCAAAACTCCATACGAATCAGAAGGATTAGTTAAAAAATTTCCTTTTAGAGCTACATATTTATTTCATTCAATATCAATTCTTCAATTCTTATCAGATATTTACCTTCTTTAATTCTTTTCACGAATCTATACATATATAAAGCACCCGCTGAAAAAAGAAAATGCGGGCAAAAGTACGCTGCCGAACTATCTTTTATTAAAAGGTGATGCCAGGTTGTGTCAAATGCGTATGCAAAGTGACAATAAGCGTATAACAATAATGTAAGAAAAACAAAAATTATCAGAAACTATCGACAGTATTGAAAACACTCGATAGCGGTACGATAGTCCGAAACCATAGATAGTGTCGATAGTGTCATCGACAGACCACATCGCCAAATGCCATACCACGTATAAGATAGTCCGTAGTAGTGGTTTGCTAACTAAACTCACTAAATATGACCTTCTACTATAATTATTTACTACTAAATATGTGAAATTTTTTTATATGCCACCTCATGCTATGTACGTATAGTTAAATTAAATTCGACTTTCCAAAGAGGTGGCCACCCTTTTCAAAGTATTTTCATACTAAAACCTTTTTAAATCTCTTTTTTCTGGCAACCATATGATTGCTTTTTATGCAATTACCTAATTCCCTTAATTCAAATTGAATTTGACTTTTTAAACGAGAAACTCTCCTACATGTGGTCAAGAAATAAAGCCCTTTCAAAATAGTGTTGATTGATACCAATTTTGTAATAACTGGTTTTTTTCAAAAAAGTGAGCGCTTCTTGCATATCTACAATATAGATTTCTTCCCAGTTAGAATGGCATTTGGAACCGTTGTGCTGCGTCTGGTAAAATTAGCGAATGGCCCGAAAAAGTCCCTTTTAATAAGGATATTTCTTTTCTCTTCCAGACGTGGAGTTTCAAAAAATGAAACGCTGTTTACAAATGGCGATTGGTTACCGGGATTTTTTTTGGAAGAGGGCGGCTCCTTTTATTGTCCATTCACCAACTTTGTAAAAGTCCCCAATATCTATGACATTATCTATGGTGAGTCTACAACTTTTTGGACTGCCTGACTTCTAGTGAATTAAAAGACTTGTTTCCCCCACTGCAGGTCTTATAGCGAGGCTCCCGGGGTGCCTACTCCATGATGTACGCTAAAGTAGTTGAGCAGCGGAAAAGATGTCCACCTACTCACTTCAGGTGATGAAATGGTTCCTTCGACTCGTCTCAGTCATCACTGGTACCTGGCTTGGGGTTTGTTGAGATAAAAACCAATTATTTAGTAGCAGTTGACAACCGTCTGGGAAGCAATTCAGCTTTAATGACGACAATCGTTTGGGGTAGTACTTAAATATTCATGCAAGGTGTATGATGAATGCCTAAAGCTAGAAGATTATCCAGACAAAAAAGAAATATTCCAACCAAGCACCCATTAAGATCACTTCTTAGTGATAGTTTTGCAACTATTCGAAGCTTTCAAAAAGTTTTGCATATCTAACTGCAATCAAATTTACAAACTTCAATTAATTGTGCTGCCAAAACGACTATCGACTACCGAACCCTTTCGAAATTCCCTTATCAGCATGGCAAGCAATAATACAACAGAATAACAATATTTACACGTGAACAACAATAATAAAACAAACAAGTTCCATTCGGTGAACACTAATTGACAAGGTATGTCATAAAAGTGACAACCGATACCGTTGTAGCGAAGTTGTTAGCGTTTTAACAGCGCAAAAGTCAACACTTGCTTGACTGCGTAAAAGGCCAACAAATAAGGGAAAAAGGGTAATGGCCGCGAAAGCAAAAGTAATTGCTAAGGGATGTGGAAAAACTTGAATTTATGAGAAAGTGGGGTTGTGCGCCGAAATGTATGCTGCGAATAGTGCGTTAATAATGCCTAAAAGCTGTAAACAAAATAAATTATCGCGATGAAAGTTGAAATAGAGAAATGTAGCAGCAGGCAGGCAGAAGGACGCCTTGGGGCACGGTTTCATCGTGAGAAGAAAGAGGCAGGAAGAGTGAAATAAGACAAAACAAAAAAAACAAAAAAAAATACAGCACCAAAGGGTTAAATTTGTAATGACTTGCAGGCTGTTGGAAAAGCTAAGTGAGACTGCGTTCTTGGCTGCTACACACATACATACATACATGTGATATGCAAATGTATTTGTATGTATATGTATGCATAAGCACTTGCTCGTGTCAAAAGTATGCTTCGCAGTGTGCGTTGGGAGTACAACGAAAACTCAATTAAAATTTAAATTTCGCAACGCAACAAAGTAAATGACAAAAGTTTTGCGTGATTGCTTGGCATAAAGCAAAAAGCACACTCACACACACACACACACACAAACGGAAGAAGAAAAAACTATTACATAAATAACTAAAAAGAAGGCTGCCGAATACTTTGTAAGCTGCAGCCAACTTAGTGGGAAGGGAGTGACACGCATCGATAGGTTAGTATGTATGTATGTGG